AATGGGTAAGCAGCAAGCCACCACAAAGCAGCAGCAGCAGCAATAGTAGCACTGGGAGTAGCAAGAGGAGCAGCAGCAGCAGGGGATCCCACAGTAGTACGAGATGCAGACGTCGCCAAATTAACAGTAGTTGCAGGGGCGCACACGCACCAGAAACGCACCAGCGGATAACATCAGCAGCAGCACGGGCACAATGAGCAGAAGCAACAACAGCGCCGGCCAAAGTAGCAGCAGCGCAAGCACCAGCAGCAGTGTTTTGTGTGTCTGTTCTGTTGCTCGAGAAAAAGATGAAACGCATAAGGAGACACTAAGCTCCGCAGCAGTTGACCGGGGCTAAACAGTTTGTTGTATCGGCGTTGCCTCTGTTAGGAACAAATAGAAGCACAAGCAAGCCATGAATCCACACAGGGCAACAAACACCAGGCTGTACCTGCAGGCATATGCTTGCTGTTCGTGACGTTGCGCCTGGTCCTCTTGCTCAACGGCTCCCCTCTCCAACACAGTTTCGGTTGCTAGTGGAGCTATACACATGCAGTTCAATATACAAACCTATATATATATATATATATATATATATATATATATATATATATATATATATATATATATATATATATATATGTGCGCTAAAGTATAATTAATATCCAGCTACATGTGTGCATCGCCGAACTCTGGAAAGAATACTCGGTGCAGCACAGTGAATGTACTAGGTAGATGCAAGCGCCCTACTGTGAAATCTAGACTGAAGCAACGACGGAACCTAGGAAGAAGAAGGAGCAAACTGGATCATGTGGAGCGTCTCCGATTGCGAGGAAGGATACCCAAGCAAGCTAACTGTTTTCCCCACTAGTGGCTGCTTCCCCTGAGTAGCTGTATGTGCGTGCCCAGCTGTATGTTTGTCTTTCTTTATTATTTGTGTTTATTTGTTTGTCCTAGCTTTCTGCTCTTTGAACGCAGTCTGCAGCAGCAGGAAGAACACGTTTTGTTGCTGCTTCTTGCAACGATGCCACCGATACGCGAACAGGCACTGCGATGGTGTTGAGGGGACAGCATTGCATTTGTCTGGCTAGAAGCAAACGGTTTGTCTCCTGTGTCTCTGTGTTTTGAATCCTTTATCTACTCTCCTTCTCGTCTACTTGCCCTCTGTTTCCAGCTTCCGTTTGGTTTCCTCTGCTGCCAGCCTCTGTCTTTACAGCCAGCCCTGGCTGCATGCTTCGCGGTAATTTTTGCTTTGTTTCTGTCTGGTCTCTGCCTTGTCTTCTGCTACATCTTGTTCTCTTTCTCTCCCCTCCACGTGATGTTTCTGGCCTTGTCTTTTGTTACATCCTGTTCTCTTTCTCTCCCCTTCATGTGATGTTTCTGGCCCTCTCTCCCCCTGTCCTCTCTCCTCCCCGTATTTTGTTTGTTTGCTGCTGCTGCTCTCTGCGCTGTTGCTGTGTTTGCTGCTGCACCTCAGCGCTTGCTGTCTGTAAACATGAAGTGTCTGCGTGGATCTCTTCATCGCGAGTTGTTTGTACACCTGAGGTGCCTGCTGATCTCAGCAGCTCCTTAGGGCTCCTGGCAGCAGTTCTTGTCGCGCTCAACTACCTCACGGGTCCTATGCTCTAAACCCTAACTCCTAGGCCCTAAGCCGTACTCGCAACATTTGTCGGAATCTAGAAAAGAGTAGTTCCTATCATTTAGTCCTCTACTCATGCCTAGCCAACCCTGTCCTCCAGACGCAACCCTGCGCCATACACGCACTTGAGACACTGGAAGCAACTTCTCTGTAAGCCGTCCACATCTTGCGTACTCGCGGGGTCCACAACGGTCTACAACGGTCTCCTAGCCCGACTGACAAGAAAGTACAGATATCTATTCCAATTTAGTCAAACTTCCTCCATATATTACAACGACCTTAATGTAACTGTGAAGTCTGGGTCTGGCTCTGCAGCCGCCGACGACCCGGTCCCTCAACACCCGTGTTGGGTCCTCACTGATCGCCGAGCATTCAGGATATCGAAGAAAACCAGCGTGGATCGTTGTCGTGGTAATTCAAGTGTTAATGCTTCTATCTGAATCACCTTTCCTACTCTAACACGCCACATTTGACAGAGGCACCTGCTCGTCCTGCCCCCGCTTCCTCTCCAGGCCTTTCTGTTTGGTGGAAGGACCCCACGTGGGAATTATCGCCGTTTTGGCTACTTTTGTATTGTTTTCCTCGGACATAAGTACCCTCACGAGCTTCAGAGCTGCCGTTGGGTTTGTGTTGATGTGTTTGCTCACGTACTTAGCATTGAGTCACTTGCGTCTGCACATCGCATTTTCCATAGCCTCCACTGCTTTTAGTCGCATCCACTGCGCTCTTCTGCACGGATCTGCTCCTTCACGGTTTTCCCTAGGCACTCTTGAGCAGAAGCCAAGGCCAGAGGCCTTTGCTACAGCACACGCGAGCCCAGTGTATGTCTTGGCGCGAGTTTCGAGACGCATCAGCCCTGAACCTACACTTTACAGAGCAATGACGGCTAAGGGGATTAAGGGATTGAACAGGGAATCTAAAGTGGGAGCAGAAGATGATGGGGCCTCCCCCGGAGCAGCAGGAACAAAGAGAAGACTGGACGGTTCGAACGTTGCTGGTGAGCACACTTCCTAAAGGCCGCCGTTGCTGCTTCTTCTAAGCCTGACATATTGTAAATATGGTGATCTGTGAAAATGGTCTTTACAGAATCTCTGTCTGCCAACGTTCGCTTAATGTGCAGGTGCCACAGTAAAGCCGGAGGAGGAGACCCAGATGCCGCGGCTGTCCGCAGAACCCCAAAATAACAGGGTTGCGGCCACACTAGGGTCACCTGAAGCACGAGAGGAAAAAGAAGAAAAAGACGTATCGGGGCCAGATAAGGACTCACATATCTCGAAGAAGCGACGGGCGGCCCCTAAGGCCCGCGCGAAAGCCTCTGCCGGAAGGAAGAATGCATCTGCCACAGCATCACTAAGTAGTACCCTGGAGCCAGATGAAGAGTTTAATGCTCTAAGGGCGCTGGCTGCCAAAAGTCGCAAGTTTGTGGGGGCTCACATCTCAGCTGCAGGTGGCGTGCAAAATGCTCTAATCAGCTGTTTCAATGTGAAAGGTAAGACACCCTGCTCATGACACTGCAGTGTCCCTTGTTGACAGGAAAGCACCTAAAATCCTCCCATTCAGCGATTCACTGCTCCCTTGTATGCTCTTGTGAGTTGGCCCCACCTGATACACATTGGGTACAGGGTCAAAAACCCGTCGTGGTTTGGGTTTCAAAGTTCAGGGTTTTCTCTTGTGCGACGAGTGAAACAGGACAGGCTTTCGCATTGTTCTTAAAATGCCAGCGAAAATGGGTTTCTCCTCCACTGGTACGCGCCAACAAACCTTGCCTGTCCAGATCTCGGACACGGTTCGCTGCTGTTTTCTGCTCAGTGAGCTTGATGGCCTGAGGAAGGCCTGAAGACCATTCCTTCTTTTCCTGTGTTGTGGGGATGGGGGGATATTGCGGCTGTTTGGGGATGGCCTCAGGCGGAGTCTTCGATTAACGGTTTTAAAGAGCGGTGTGACCAGCTAGAACTGGACAAAGCCACTCAAGTGCTGCCTCATGGTAGCTACCTCATCAATGTCGCCAATCCAGGTGAGACACGCGGTCTTCGCTGCTCCCTTTCACACAGGGGGAACGACTTCTTGTCATAAGGGGCATAGTATAAAAATTAGTGAAAGCCTGCATTCCAGTCTTTTTGATCTGCTGTGGTGTGGTGGACAGACAAGACGAAGCAGGAGAATGCGTACAATGCCCTTCTCGATGACTTGCAACGCTGCGAAACTCTTGGCATTAAGCTGTACAACATCCACCCAGGTCTGTCGCCATCCTTTCAATCGGTCGAGCTACGCCGCAGGATGTAGCAATACATCCCGTTATTCGACGCCATCGGACTTACGGCAGCAGTGGCTCTTCCAGTTGGTGGTCAAATTCATGCTTCGTAACGACCAGAATGATTCATTTCAGCTATAATTCATATATGCGGCAATACAACTATTGAAAGAGGAGTTGCACGCACACGCTGGGAACGTGAGCTGGGTGCTGTGTGCCTGCAGGTTCCACTGTGGGCGACTGCAGCAAGGAGGAGGGAATACGGAATATCGCCGTGAGTAGCATTGGCTCGCTTGGATATTCTTCCCTACGCCGAGGCAGCAAGGCGGAGCGGTCCCCCTTTGTTTTTCTCTTCCCGGTGTTCATTTGAGTTCTGCTCATTTGCTTTTGTCTGCTGCTGGCTGCAGGCTGCAGTAAATAGGGCTCACAAGGATACGAATTTCGTAGTTGTCGTACTGGAGAACATGGCAGGCCAGAAGAATGTCGTGGGTAGCAAATTCGAAGACCTCCGCGACATCATCGATCTGGTTGAGAACAAAGATCGAGTGCGTCCTACGGGGAAGGGTAGTTTACATTGAAGGGGGAGGCTGCTAAAACGTGTTCGACACGATGACATATCTGCGACGCGGTACTTCAAATCTCACGGTGCAGAACCACCTCTGCGAAGTGCACCTTGAGTGTTTACCATGTGTTGCACTGCAGGTTGGAGTCTGTCTCGATACGTGTCATCTTTTCGCGGCAGGTGTGCAACTAGTACTATTGTTGATGGAGGGACTCATCCTTGGGTTCAGAATCCGTTTTGTGAGTAGACGAGCAGAATAGTTACTAAGCGTGCGACTCAAGCAGAGCTCGGATGGGCTAAGTGAGCGTAAACACTGCCTAAGTTTTGTCTCGTAGGCTACGACATCCGAACTGCAGAGAAGTTTGAAAAGGTAATGGAGGAATTCGATGGCACCGTTGGCTACAAGTTCCTCAAGGCAATGCACTTGAATGACTCGAAGTCTGAACTAAGCTCAGGACTGGACAGGTAGCGCACACCTAGGCACATCACGGTGCACCCCCGCAGAGTGTAAACGGAAATTCCGTTCGTTTTTCCATAGCTCCATGCACCCCCGTTTAGGACGTAGAATGGAGTACCGCTGCTCGTAATTTTGGGTTAGGGGCGCCCGTGGTCCTCTCTGCCCACCGTGCTCAGTGCGCCGTCTGCCAGGGCTTTGAAGCAATCCATTGATGAGTTACCCCAAATGCATAGAGTGTTTCTGCGATGCTGCAGACACGAGCTGCTCGGCAAGGGCCATTTGGGCCTGGAGCCGTTCAAGTACATCATGCGACACCCGACCCGCTTCAAGGACATGCCGCTGATACTGGAGACCCCCGATCCCACCGAGGGTAGCATATGGAAGAAAGAAATAAAACAGATGTACAGCTTCCTAGATGGCAAGGAACTATAGAAGTATATTGTTGACCTACCTCGATGGGATACTCAACTGCTGCCAATTCACTGTGTGCACCTCGCCGCGTCCGAGGTGAATAAGTACGTGTTCAGCGTACTTCCATGCCATTTAGGTGGCAATGTTTCGAACCCCACTTAACTAAATGGTCGGAATCACCTGGTAGGTACCCTACACTATGCGATCGTGTCAACCGTACAGCGGAGTGGCTAAAAGGCACCATACGTCTCCATGCTAGGACTCACTACGTTGAGAGGCCCCTACCGCTGCTCTGCTACTCATGCTCCTGAAAGGGTCATCTTGGTTGCATCCTGGCTTATTTTCAGTGCTGCCCTTCTAATGGGCACCGGGGACAGCCCAGCGGTGCCCGTGGATAAGCAACTCTATCCATCCCTCTACTAGCCACCAGCTGCTAAGTAATGCAACATGCATATCAGTAGCGTGTACGCCATCGATGCACATGAGCAATAATCGACCCCCAAACGCATCAGGTTTACTGTTTGTTTAAAACCCCGTGGCAGCTGCACCAGGGCGTGGCGCCAATGGCCAGAAGAAGCCTCTGCTGCTGCAGCCACTGCCTCTCACGCTGTAGGCGAGGCAACGCACTGGCGAGCGATGACGTCCAGCTCCTTCTGACCAAGCTTAGTCAACCGTCTGCCACTGAAGGCACAAATACACACACTCCCATTACGCACGAGCTGCCACTAGGGCGAGCAGCAGCAGCAAAAAACACCAGCAAGTGAACTGCACTGCAGCAAGTCACGTACTTGTCCGGGCGAGACTCCACAAGCCCCATAGCCTCAAACTGCTGAAGAATATAACGGATGATCTTCCCACTAGCCTGCGCAGAAAATCGCCGACGAGCACAGGGCGGGGAGGAAATACACTCGAGCAACACATGTTCGAAGTTACTTTATCAAGCTGCTCCCTCAACAATTTAGCCAATTCCCCAACGTGCGCAGCATGGCACACCTTGCTAGTGTGTCCTGGAATGCACTTTTTGCCGGTCTTGCAGGAGAAGAACTTCCTGAAAGCCCCCACGCCGCAGCTTGGGCGGAGATAGAGGTGACGCAAAATCGCCGCCGCACGCTTGAAGATCCAGTCTGGGTCCTGAGGGGCCAGGCTCTTGCCCTGCGCAAACCCGCAGAAACAGCGAACGGAATAAACCGAGCAATGCAGGCACTCACAACAGACGACAAGGGGAACGTAGCCTCGATTCAATCGTATCGGCCTGCATGGCGGGAAGCACCAACGCTACGCTTGAGAGGTGTGCGTTCCGTGAGAGAGGAGAGATACTCACATATCCTGTCTTTACCAAATCCGCCCACATGGGGACCTGGAACTTCCCTCTCTTCTTCAGATGGTTTGCGTAGGCCTGGATGAAGGTCTGCGCCACGACGTCCTTAACCGTATACACGGGGGCGGGACCAAGCCCGTATTCCTCAAGAAATGCGTCCATCTGCACCGGACAGAACAAAAATAGTGAAGTGTTGGTTGTCTCATTCGCTTTGTTGTTGAGTGCTCTGAATGAATTAATTCCACTGGAATCCACTGGAATTAACTCGACTAAACGCCACACTGAAGGAGACAACCAACACTCCAAACCCTCCCAGAGAGCCGTTGTTTGGTTTAGTCCCCACTATAAGTGTGCGGCCACCTCCCAATATATGAACACAAGAGTTAAATCAAGCAGAGAGCGAGTTCCTACAGTACATAATCGACGACAAAACCTCGCGCACAAGCCCCGCATACGGAATCACCTCCACGGCCCGTACAGTCACGAACCAACCGGTGATTTTCTTCTTGACGGGCGCCAGGAAGTATCACGGAGAGAAGAGAGCATACTCAATACAAAATGGTGCGGGGAGAGAACCAAATACCCGGCTGAAAGCCCCTACCCAGCTTCCGCCCCCGAGCCCCAACAGGCGAGAAGGAACACAGCGGGAGCCACACATGATGGCTTCATTCGGACCCTCCAAAGCCGGAAATTCAAAACCAATGACAAAAAAAAGCAAAACTGAGGGGGAAAAAGGATTCCACCGACACCCCACGACGCCGCTGCTGCCATCCAGCAGCGATGCTGCGCTTCTGCTGCTAAGAGATGTGAAGTGGTGCTCACCTTGCGCAAGGACTGCGGGTCCCGAGCGAATATACTATGAACCGCAAAACAAGAGAAAACCTTCGCTTTCAATGGGTTTCCCGTTGCGTTGCCCAGCGCAGTTGAGCTGGTGCCCTCCTACACTGCCGGCCGCCCCCCACATGAGAACTGCAGCCCCAAGGCGAAAGCGTGCGACTTTCCGCAAGAAGGGGCACAGAGTTTACTGCATATATGCAGATTTTCGCCTTATTTTTCCTAACCAAACTGTTCTTATTTTAGTTATATTCACTTGAATTCGTATTATAAGGCGCTGCATTATGGACTGCTTTGCAACTGCTGCTGCAGCCCCGGGAGGGCGCGTGGCCCGGGCTTGTACACCGGAGAGCCACGGGTCAACGGAAGGTCGCTGTCGCTCCAGGCGTGCTCCCTAATTCATTGTTTATTTCTGATTTCTACTTTGACACACATGACATTTTCTGTCAACTTACCGTCTCCTGATCTCAGTCTACGGCTACACCGCCTGTAGAGGCGTCGTCAAAAGTACGGGTGGCACACTGACAGGACGCAGGCCTGTGACACTTCCAGATCTCTTCTGCTTATATACGACAGTTGTTGGGTGCGCATGTTCAATATATAGCCTTGGAGGTGGAGGGCTGCAGGGAACTACCCCACGGACGACGACAACCAGCAAGTGTACGCATGCTTGGGGTTCGTAGCGGGTGCTTCCCGCTGATATCTTGAGGAGGCGTTTACGTTTCGAGCCGTAGGACGTTTTTCACTCTTTTACTATATTCCCTTTCGGGTTACCTGCTTGACTACTTGACCCTGTGCTCAGCTGCACAGCAGACCAGACCAGACCAGTGGTCATCCGGTATGCCTCCCCACAGGATGCCTAACTCCTTCCCTCAAGGCGAAGGGCAAACTCACTGTTCCTTACCTAGTGGCATGAGGAATTTTCTGAGACGTGGTGCATCGGCCAGGTCTGCTCGTGGGAACCTTCGCACCAATGACACTGGTAGAGTGGCTCAACAGCAGGCAGGTAACGAAAGCAGCAGCGGCTCTGCCTCTTCGCGCCAAACTGCTGGAACCGTATCCCATGGGCAGGCGGCCGGCGAGGTAGTCGCGGCCTTGGCTGCTCCCGACGAGCCAAACGTCTTCTGGAGGCACCAGAGTGAAGAGACCCTTTTCCGGCCTCCCAAGCTCCCGTTCCCTCCCCCGCGCAGCGTCTCTGTAGGGTCTGTTTGGTCCTGGCAAATGGGAGAGGGCCTCTGGATCCCTTTTGATGTGCGAATCATGGAGCTCCTTGAAAGCCTCTGGGCGCACTTACAGGGTGAACATCAACAGGACGGGCCCCCAGACGCATTGCCGGGGACGCTAGACAGGACTCAGGAACCACATCAGCCCCAGCACCAGCAGGTGCAAGTGCAGCAGCATGAGGATCAGGGGCAAGAACAGGGGGAGGACCGAGAAGGAGAGGAGGAACAGAATACGGCAGACCACAGGGGAGAGAGGGCATCACAACATTATCCCCAAAACCACAAGTTGTACGTACACCTTTTGCCGTGGCGTTATTGCCTGGATCTGCACACGATGACACAAAAAAACCTCGCCACTCACAGAGTGCGGCCTATCCGCAGGATGTTCGAGAGGGTGGGCTTGTGGTTCTCGCGAGGAACGGACGGATACGCAGAAAGGTGCGTCCGGTTGTATCACATACCCAGTGGAAGTTGATAATCACGCCTTCACTTATATGGTGTATAGACCAAAGACAGACGGCGCGCCGCATCATGCAGTGTTGTCGGGGATGGCGACAGCAAACAGGGGAAGGCAGATGTACCCCAGTATGCAGTTGGTTTGCGCTGCAAAATGAGGTGTTTACATTCATTTATTTGAGAGCTTCGCATGTCAATGCATCTGCTTGGCGCCATCCGGTTGAGTTGTTTCGGTATGTTTCTTGTTTCATACGAGAACGGGATGTGCAGGTTTGCGCCGGAATTGGAGATTCGCTTGGAAAGCCTCTGGCAAGAATCGCGGGATGGGAGAAGGTCCCCGGGACCATTGGCCATTGCTTGGCAGGACCCTAGTACCGGAGATGTGCACTACACGGACGTCATAGCAATGAACGAGCTGACGGGAAACGGCAGCTACAGAGAGGTGAGCTTTTCTGCTTGACTGTAACGGAGCTCGTCGTGGAGACCAAATTCATTTCCGCATCGTCCTGGAAACGCAGTACGGAACAGAGCTACAAGTTGGTTGATTTTTCGCATTGAGAGGCTGTGCTTGTGCGAACAGATCATGCGCATGGAGATATCTTGCGTGACCCAGGACTCTTCACTTGACGCTCGTGAAGCAAGACATCTCCCCGAGTTGCCTTCCCTGGAGGTCGGCAACGAAGAGTCAGGAGAGGCGTTCTGTAGGGGGCACAAGGAGTGGTTCGATTCCGACGACTTCCAGGCTGCTTTCGCTGCAGTAGGCGCAGGCGGTGAGGGTTCGGTCAAATGTAGCCGCAAATAACACTCGACGCTTCACGCCTAGCTGCAGCGGACCTTCACATCACTACCGCCTGCCACTAGGGCATCGTCTTTACATCAGTATCGCCACATTTATTTCTTGGAGGATCTGATAATGATGCAGTGCAGTTGGGGACATATAACTGCCTTGTCCGGATTCTGCATTTACCGCTGTCACTTGCTCGGTATGTGCAGAAGTACCTGACGATGCCTGCGCCATCTGTCTCGAGACCTTTGGTGCCGGAGACAGCGTGGATCCGCAGGAACTCCAGCGAGAGGAACAGCAAAAACAAGCCTCTGCTCGTCCCAAAGGCAACAGCGCCAGCAGGAGCGTCAGCAGCTATATAAGCAGCAGCAGCGGGGACAGCAGTCCTACCAGCAGCAGCAGCAGCGGAACTTCTGGGAGCAGCAGTAATGGGAGCAGCGCCAGCAGCAAAAACAGCAGCAGCAGCGGCAGGGGCGCCAGCACACAGCAGCGCCAGCTGAGTGCCTGCGTTTCAGAAGGTTGCAGCGAAGTGGATCGTTCTGGAGTTATTGATTGCGACGGCGGCAGCACATCCAAATCAAATTTGATGGACGAAGTCAGCAGCAACCAAGAGGTTGTGAAGCTGCGGCACTGCCCACACCACTTCCACTCCGAGTGTATACGCATGTACATGCAAAGGTGCAGCAGGGGGGGGTTCTTTTGTCCCACATGCAATGTGCTGCAGCTTCCGGGCAATGGGCCCTCTCCGCCAGGTGGGATATATAACTTGCCGTTGGCTTCGCAGATTTCGCTACAGTTGGCTAATTTGTTGTGTCTAGCTCTGGTTCTGCTGTTGCAACTGCTGCACGAGGTCACCCTGTACTGGTCGCTTTTTGCTGTTGTCTTCCATCGCAGGGAAAATGTCTTGGAGGATCTCACGGCACTCTTTGCTTGCGGGTCACCCAAGAGAGGGTGGGGCCCTGCATAGCCTTCTCAGCTGTTGGGACTTCTGTTGCTGCTGGTTTCTGGGGAGTTGCTATTGCTACTGCTAGCTGCGACCGCGCTGCTGCTGGCGATGCAGCATGTGGAATGCAAGTTGTCGATATGCTTGTTCCCACAGGCACTATCATCATAGAGTACGTGGTTGAGGGAGGGATTCAGACAGAGAGGCATGCCCACCCTAACACTCCTTTCACAGGCACTCGGCGACAGGCTTTCTTGCCAGACTGCTTACTGGGGCGGCAATTGCTTCGTCTGCTTATACGCGCTTTTGTGAAGGTATATACAAGAGAAGCTCAACTTTGAATTTTGCGTCCTTCCCCTTCCTGCTTTCCGTGGTTGCCAACTGAATGGCATGCAGACCGTAGTATTGTTGCTTCGTGACGTTTCATTGCAGCTACTGCTCTGTTGTTTCAGGGTCACACATTCACTGTGGGGGACAGCGTAACTTCGGGGCAGTCCAACGTGGTGGTTTGGAACGGAATTCACCACAAGACAAGCGTTTCTGGAGGTAGGCTCTGGCATTAGCCTTCTTTGTTGTCGCAGCTCAATAGGCTACATTGGCTGCCGCGGCTGCGATACGATTGGCCCTTCAAAGTCTCAGCCGCCTCCTGTTAAAAGGGTGGCACGGAAATCGACTCCCTATTATATGTCGCAGGACTACTGCGTTACGGATACCCCGACGACACGTTTTTGCTGCGGCTGGCTGAGGAGCTCAGAGCGCGGGGCTTCCCTTTGGAGCGCGCTGAGCTGAATGAGGGGTAGGTGCAGGAACGCGGTGCCATGCGTGCATGCACCCGCACAGTATTGATGAACCGCCAGTTGTGGTGCGCGGGGCCCCGCTCAGCTGTGGAATTGAGGGACCTTTTCGTCGGTTGCTGCATCGCTGTCCATGGGGACCTCGAGTAAGATATGGGGAGTGCCGCATGCGTCGGAGTGAATTTGCTGGTGTTCTTCATGTGTTCGTGCAGTGCTGCACATGGTGAGAGGCCAAGGAACGTCGAATAGAACTTGGGGGAATTGTATATTCCTCGTACTCCACTCAGGGTTCCTAGGCCTATCACCGTGTTGAAGAAACCCTACTTACTATACGACGACGACGAGAAACACTGTAGGAGGATATATAGTCATGCGCTGGCATGCAGTGTGCCGTGCGGAGCCACTTCCTTTGTTGCGTGGGGCCCTTTGCATCCGCCTGTTCCCCTACTTACAGACAGACGGACGCATGCCCTTTTTTCCAACGCAACATGCAATGCTTGATGGTGAGGGTGTGGGAACGAAGTGTCTTCACTATATCGCGTGTATGGAGGAGCGCAAACATCCTCGTATGACAACCACATAAGCTCGCTCGCAGCGCCCTCGTAACGATCTGCCGACTTCACCGCATACACTACAGGCGACAGACGGTGGCGTTCAAATGCAACGCTGGATATATATCCACATAAACCGAATGACTTTTGCACAATTGGGACAGGATTGAGCACGAAGCAAGGAACTGTCGCGGGGCTCCGACGGCTCAGCTAGGGAAGCAAGACAGTAGACGAAAACCGCCTCTTGTCTTGCTGGCTGGGTAGCCGCAAGCTAATCCTTTAATGCCTCGCCATTTATGTGCGCACTCATAGAACCAAAGGGCCATAATAGGGCGCCCTCGGCATTGCGAAGTGCGGAACTACGTAGACAGAAGCATAGGTCGGGGGGACAAGCCACCGCACCGCACTGCGACCACGACTAATAGGGAACTCCACTGGGCAACCACGCCGAAGTTGCTTGCCCGTAGGTGTGCACTTTTACAGAACGACCCACATGCAGAAGGATGCTCAGGTGAACAGGTCCGTGTTGATGTGGGGTTGGCCGGGAGCTCCGCGGCACGGAGAGTTTCACAACTTACATATTGATGCATATATATACATATATATGCATATATACATGTATATATATGTGGAAGTTTGGTACTGGAAATTCCTCGTGACTACAGCCTACGCAGTACAAACGGTTTTGCTCGTGATTGCAAGCGGGACTCACACGGTCCAACGTATGGACAGCAACGCGTTTTGTCGAGTACTAAGAGCAAACTCTAATTTGATTGCGTCGCGCTGAACTGTACATGCAAAAAAACGGATGGAAAATACAACGAACAGGAAGGCATAATGCGGCAAGCCAACCCCACGAGAGGTAGGTGTCATGGTGCGCGAGCGAGGCCCTGTTGGGTGGCAAGGATGCATGCACGCTAGCGAACCCGATTTGATGCTTGCCTACTAGTAGAAACATAATTACCTGCATTTCTAATGACTTTTCAATGCTGGAGAACGTCTCAGGTTGGTGTTTACATAATGTTCCCGAATTGTTTACAAACAGGGAACCCAATTAGCTAGATTCCTCGCAATCGTCCGAGGAGAGTCGCGAGTTCCGTAGCAGTCAAAATACTTAAGATAAGAGTTCCCAAAAGGCAGCTGAGACCCTTCACTTGGCCTGTGGCCGGCGGCCCGTGGCCCTCGGGCCCGAGGACTGGCGGCCATGACAGTGTCGGTGTGGACTTGGTCTGTGTACTTTTAGTTGTTTGCATACTGGCGGCTGAGTGCCAAGTAAGTGGTCAATGTTCTCCTATAGGCTGGCTGTGCCTCATTTTATGGTGTTTCTAGGAAAACATACATACGGTATCATTCATACCGCTTCAACGGCCGCTCACTCTACTGAGAACGTTTACTGACCCCTCTGGTGCACAGATGAGCACTTCAGAGGGCAATGTGCTGCGACAAATCAAGTGGACTATGTACGTGGGGCCTCGAGCCGCCGAACTGTCTCGGCGGCTCGAGCGTTTGTGAAGGAATGACCATCCCCTTCAAGCTGGGGAAACGGTGGAACAGGTGTATAGTGACTATTCATGTGGAAAAATAAGTAGTAAAGGCTGGGAGAGGAAGGCAGGAACACACCCCATAGCACTCAGAGCGAAGGCATGGGGCGCCTCGAATCTCCAGCGATCACGGGGGCGCTGTCCCTTCGCGTGCGCAACTCAGGTCTTCAGATGTGGCGTGGCGCTTCAGATTGAATTCAGTCGGAACCCAAATAACGTGCTCCTAGTCACACTACTGCTCGTTTGTGCGGAGGTCGAAAACGGGCAAGCAACTGCATAGAAAGGAACAGTACATGTTGTCGGCTGGGGACAGGCATACCCGTTGCTCCACCGAGTGCTTGTGCGAATCTGTGGCCCCAACAAAAAGAGCGCCAGCAGCTAGTGACTGCGCCAAAGACATGACCATGGCTAACTGGCGAAGGCGTAGCAAGCTACGACCATCTTAACAGCATAAACTGCATTCTGATACTGTTTGGGTACTTCATGTGCCTGCGCCTTGCGATATGATGGCGACATGGCTGTACCACAAGCCAACCGAGTTCCGATAACCCCTCAATGTACGCACTGGCAGGACCTGCCAACGCAAGAATCTCCGGATTAGCTGCACTACTCTTGCACTAATTGTAAGGGTGTTCTGATGAAGGGCCCCCATTTCACGGCGCGTAAAACCCGAGACAGAACTACGGATAAAGCAGTTTACCAATGTAAGGCATATGGGATAAAACACTTGCGAGGTGTTGCGCTGCTCTGAGAATCGTACAGGTTCATTAACGCTCTGCTGGGTCTGTGAATTTCAGAAGATTTACAACAAAAAGTACATGGAATATGATATTTGTACTTGTGGAACCTACGTAGGGCTGGCTAGTTTGCAGATAGAAGATGCTCAGGCGGGCTCTGTTCTGTAAGGACCGAGACATATGCCCAACTGCTGCTGAAGAGCCCTGGTATTGTACTGGGACAATCCTGTTATGTTCCGTTGAGTTACGAAAGTTAATGTCAAGAATGGATTTACAAGAAAAAGGCATCCCAGTAGGCTCAAAAATGTAAAGGATGCTCACCCGGAATGAAACGCACCCGGAATGAAACAACTGGTGAACCCATTTTGGCCATTCGCCGTACAGGTTAAGTGCCCTACAGGCGCAATAGTTTGAAAAAAACGACCGATGTAGTTCCATGTTCCTTCAATGCTACGCCTCCTTTGAGTAGTCAAAAATTGTGCAAGCAGTTCTGCGCATGAGACCAGATTACTTCTTGCCTACAGTAGGCTTTTCTCAGATGGCTAGATACAAATATATGTAGCTCAGATGACTCCCTTGGAGTCCGGTTAAACGCGCCCGTTCATAATGTGGTGGGCGCTTATTGCGCTTTGTAGCACAGGAGTGATGTATGGATATTGATGATTATGAAGGAAAGCTCATTGATGGCTACAAGTACAATTCGCCCCTCCAAGCTCACTGGCAGCTGAATTGTAATGACGCTGCTTCCCAGGCTACTCAGGACCTGTTCTATTCGCAGGAAAATAGCTCCAGTTGGCGCTTTTAGTACCTTATCCGGACTGCATGGGTACTGGCCCGGTTGATGGTTGCAAAGGCAGGATTTGAATTAAGCTGTGCTTTTTGTTTGCTGATTTTTTTACACAGCGCACAAGCACAGAAACCAAACATAGATTGTCCGGAAACAGCTCAGCTACTCGTACACCGGGCTACCCCGCTCACGCCGCACCAGCAGAGACGGTGAGCGCTGCCTTTGAGGAGAAAGGCCTCTTGATATTGCGGAGGTACTACGCTCCTGCCGATGATGCTCCCTGTTAAAACAGAGGCGACAGAAGCAGAAACACCTCATTACGGTTGCAAGTTGCTTCGAAGGGAAGATGCCACGATGGCGCTGGGAGAGACTACAGAAGAGAGACAATGGCGGATGGGAAAATAGGGCACAAAAGGGGGGAAGGCGGAGGCTAGAACGCGTGACGCAGCTAACTAGGAAGAAGGGTGAAAAAAGGGAAGATCAGGGACGACAAAGATGCAACGGAACTCACCGGGCGGCCCGGTGCAGTCCTTCAGCTGCTTGCAGCTCCTCTGGAGTTGGGGGGATGTATACGCCCTGCAGAGATTCACAAAGCACCACAGCCGGACCGGCTTTGGCCCTATTAGTGTGTCCCGCCCAACTTGTTTTTTGTGTCTTTGCCGGTAGGTACCCTTTGGGGCGCATGCATAACCACAATACAAGCACATACAACCAGGAAGGGAGCAGCTAGCTGCTGCAGTTGAGCAACACCCGTCTGCTGAACCAGAGAACCATAAAAAAAGGGTCCTCACAGAATGTGTAGTTTGTCACAAACCCGAGAATGACAGAACACGCATACGATGCAAGCCAAGCACCGCGTTGCCGCGTCGGCGACGCGGCGCGGAGAGTTTCTGTGGCTCACCCCTGCCCTGGACTTCCACTGGCCCAGCCGCGTGTCCCACATCTCCCCTTGGGCTCTCCGTCGTTGGGGGGGGGGGCTCACCATCGCAAACCTTCGCAAGCACACTCAGCAAACACTCAGGAGAGATATACAAGGGAGATCACCTCCAAAGGCGGCCCGAAAATACCTCCAGAGCTACCCAGCACGGGCCCTAGAAGAAGCAACCAGGTCCCAGAAGCCGAGAGGGAAATGAATGGCACAAAGTGCGTAAGGCCTGGCAGCTGCAGTCACGTGTGCCTCAAGCACACTCCAACCCCAGTAAAAGCCGGCAGGGACTTCCCCGCCATAACAGCAGCAGTGGCAGCAGAGAAGTCCCTTACGAGACTAAAGAGAGATCCCTGACTCCCCACAAATCGGGGCTCAGAAAAGCAAAGACAGCATAAGCTACCTACCGGTCATGAGTCCAACTCTGAGGACTTCTGCTGCTCCGCCGAGGCCTCCCGTTGCTGCGCGGGCCCCACAGAGACAACCATAGTCGGAATGCAGAAGCGCTTCCAAGGTGCCTTTCGGCGAAAAAAAATGCTTCTTAGGGGAGCCGAAGACTGCCAACTGCACAAAGTGATGGGCTAGGGGCCCCTGCCTAGCCCGTTAGCATAGAGGGCAACAAAGCTACAGGTACCGTCTCCGCAGCCAAGGCATAGTGGAATGCCAGTGGAATACATGATTACAGACAGAGGAAAGGGCTGTGGAATAGAGAAGCGAGATGGGGAAAAGGGAGAGTTAAATAAATACTCAGAGGAACCGACTCGCCAGTGTAAGCGTGGAGGTCGTGGGCCGCGAAGAGGGGATTGGTGCGCTGCGGCGGGGGAGACTTGGAATCCCGTCTGAAGCACAGTGCAAAACCACGAGGACGAGCTGTTGCAGATGCACACACTGGGAGCACTTGAAACGAAGCATCACTGACTCAAATACACTGGCAATATACATCTAAAGGGCCTCCATGTAGCCGGCACGATATACAACAAGAGACAAAGGCAGCAAACCGCAAGCGGCAACACACAGGAGGCGGGGCGGCATAACAACCGAAAGCGCTTGCACCGAGATGCTTCATTCACATACAGACACGCGATGCCCCCCCCCAGCAGAAGAAAGCAGCAAGTGAGAGTTGACGAGAACCAACTAAGTGACTAGCTCAAAAGCCAAACGCCAAGAGCAACCCATGCACACGGCTAGCGAGCCAGCCTGGGCAACTCGCGCGGTGGCTAGCTAGCTACGTAGCCAGTGAACTGCCAAGCAAAGGCTGATGTCAGCATGCGAGGTTGCCGCTGTGCCTCAATGCGTTGCGGAGAAGTCCCAAGCGTCTCCTCATTGGAGTCTCCTAATATGAGCGCAACCGGATAAAATGTTTAATGTAGGTAGGAGACCGATGGGCCAGGGACAGGATGATGCGTACGGCGGGTCAGAGGCTAAAAGCAGAAACAGCAGCGCACGGGGTGAGCACAGCCTTTAACGTCGTGAAAGGGAAAGAAGAGGCAGCGACAATAGCACCAGCAGCAACATCAACGGCAACAAAAGCATATGGAACAATCTCACCTAGGGAAAGAAGTCTTCTGCTGCTGCTGGCACTTCGGGAATGACAAGATCGCCATGTGCAGCGCTTTTCCCTACTGCTGCTTCTTCGCCATCTGCTGTTGGTTCTGTTGTGAGTGCTACCACGCCTTCTGCTTTCTGTAGGCCTGCTGCTGACGCAATGCCTGGCCGTGTCGCTTCTACTGCCGCTTCTGCTCCTGCTTATGCTGGCACAGCCTCCGTAGCGGCGGCGCCTGCTGTGGGTTACCCTCGAATCCCCTCTTCCTCTCCCAATGCTTCTGCTGCCGCTGGATCTGCTGCGGCCACTTTCGCTGGTTCTTTCCCATCCGTGCAGCCGTCTGGTGAGGGCCTGTCTGGGCCTCCGTGTTGTCTTGCTGTTTCTGCCTTTCACGCTGCTGTTCCTGCTGCAGTTGCTGCTGGTGCTGTGTCTCCTTCCTCTGGGGCAATAGGCAGGGTCTGAAGTTAACGGCGTCCGCGAATCCGTTTTTCGGGAGGGAGGGGAAATGACTATGACATCGTCGGACCCACTGCTGGCCGAGCGGCTGCGCGGCCTTGCTGTTGCACTGAGCACTCCTGTGCTGCTACCCGCAACGTTCTTGCTGTTACCAGAGCTGCACTTGCTATCGTTGCGGCTGCAGCTGCTGTCTTTGCAGCAACTGCACTGGTTGCTTGCGCTGCGGTGACGCTTTTCTGCTGCTGCTGCTGTCGCTGGCATGTTCGGTGGTAAACGTGCGTTCGTTGGTGGTATTTGCAGCCTCTTGAAAATCACCTGATTCGTTGTAGCTGTTGCTAGAGTTTCCGCCCACAGGGATGTCTATCTTGCTGGTGGCTCAGGGGCAAGGCAAGGAGCCACGGCTGCGAAGGGGGATGTGGGGCCCCATTAGTACCCCATGTCCAAACCCTGCCCCTGTGCGCCTCACTGGGGTGTCTCTACAGATCAGCTAAGCCAGGAGTCAAAGTTTTGCACAGACATCCCACTGGCTTTCTGCCTCTCCTGGGGGACGCAGCAGCTACCGCTTACGGACAGCAGGCGCCCATAAGCAGCTCTTGTCTGCCTACTCCAAACGCAAGCTGGCCGCCAGGGCTTTTTCGTTTGTCCTCTTCCCCTCCTAAGCCAACGGTTACACACGGGGGCCCCTGTGCAGACAGAGACCCCCTGTAAGGGCTCCGCAGCGAAGTGGCCCCTTGAATATCTCAGGAAAGGCCTGCCTGCAACAGAGAGAATATATTTCACCTGAACAGAAAGCCGAGTGAAGCTCTCTACTTTAGCACGGCCCCCTGGGACACGCGAGACAGCACACAAAGCTTCCTGGGGTCCAGCAGCACCAACACGCCTTCCGCAGAATCCATTTGTGTCCTTGGTCATTTCGCTACTTTCCAGCTGTCTCTTTCTCACAGAAAGCCTAGAATGAGCCTACAACGACGCGCAAAAGTTAGAGCCGTGGGGCCCCCCAAGCGGGACTCGCCCGTGTGGCCCCGGGGCCCCAAGGAGACTCGGGATACCCAAGGGCAACAGTTACTCTAAGAAAACCAGGAATAAATGCACAATGTTCAGCGTAAGGATATTCTCTGGTTACCGAGGGCCAGAAAAGGCGGTTTGAGATCCCTGAAAACTACGAGTCACTACAAGCCGCTGCAATGCACGAGCCACTGCAGTGAGACGAGAGCGCAGCTGCAGCAGCAGAAGCAACTGTATCAACAAATGCCATGGAGATAGAGGACAGCTGGAGATGGCTGCTGGTGTAAGCATTTCTGAGGAGTTTGCGCGAGGGCTATTATGTCTGTACTTCCTTGCTGCAGCAGCAGCAGCTGCTGCAGCCTCGCGATGGCCGCTCTTCGCCTCTTTCGCAGCCCACGGGAAAATGCGCCAGCAACAGAAGCAACAGGGGCAGCAGGTGCAGCAGCAAAGGTTGCAGCAGAGTTGGCTAGTGCGGTTTCTGCGGTGGGTGGAGTCAAAGGACTGCAGCAAGCTGCGGTTCATTGACTTTTACATCACAGGCGTCTTTGTCACCTGCTTCTGCCTCCTTTCCCTGCACCAGGAGCAGCAGCGGATTAATCGGCAGCTGCTACCACTTACGTTGTTGCTAGTGCACCTACTGCGGCGATTGGGGGAACAAGCGCTGCTGGTCGCCTCAGACGAAGCTTCTCGGATGCATATCTTTGCGTACATTTTAGGTTGCACGTGAGGAATGCAGGTGGCGCTACTGCAGCTACCGGTGCTGCACTGTTTGTTGCTGCTATTGTTGCTGTTGTTGCTGTTGTTGCTGTTACTGCTGCTCCTGTACTGGGTATGACTTCTCTCTCGTTGTTGTAAACTAAAGTGTTGCACTTGTTGCTGCATTTGCTGCTGCTGCAGCTGTTGCTGTTGAGGCCGTGGCACGTGTCTGGGTGTCAATTTCAGAGGACGACTTGCCACCGTTTATTTGCATGCATGCAGGTTTTACATTGCAACTCCCCTAGCTTTCCTGTGCGCGTCGAGAGGGGTGCAGGGCCCCAATCTGCTGCAGGCTGGGGCCTCCGTAGGACTCTGGGCAATTTCAAGTTTGCTGCAGGTAAGTGGCTGCCTTCTGCACAGCCGGTGCGCAGCTGAGGAGGCCTCCTTGTTGTTGCTTGTGCGGCCACTGCGTGTCTTGCAATGGTGTGTTGCTTCAGCAATTTCTTTTGTTTCGTCTCAGTTCGTTGCACACGTCTCGCTAGCCTCTTTGAGGCGGCAAGGGGCTCGGGAATTGGCCTTAATGGAGTTCAGGGCTTTTTCCCAGGCAGCAAATGGGGCAGCAGATGAACATACAGGAGCCAAGAAAACACGCAGAGACAGCAGCAGGGACAGCAGCCACGGCGTGAACAGCAGTGACAGTGACAGGGCATGGAAGAGGAGGGGGCCCTACAGGGTGCCACGGGGACCCCTCTTTGCGTACATCAGCTGTCCTCACTACCTCAGTGAGGTACTTATCTATTTGTCTCTGTTCATTTCCGCCCCCGACATTTCCACGTGAGGCCGCTGTGCTTTTCAAGCTGATAGCGACTGAAGCATCTTCATTGTTCGTTGGATTCTTATCGATATGCCTCCGCTGCAGGTCGTGTGCTGTATGACATACTAATTCAACGCACATGTTCCCGTCTTGCAGGAGTTTAACACTTTTTAATTAAGAAACCTGCCGCCGCTGTTCATCTGCCTCCAGAGGTGCAGAGGCCGCACCTCTACAGAACAGCGCCCTCTGCACCTCTGGAAGCAGATGGAGCAGCACTTGTGGGTGCTTGTACTTGCTGCAGCAGCTGCTGTTGTCTGTACGTGCTCGTGTGCATGGATTCCAATGGTAAGGATAATTGACAGAGCAAATGCATGGGCGCTCAACAGGCGAACAGCAAAACAGCGAGCAGGAACAAGTTCAGAGGTTAAGAAAGGCTACAAAAGAATGGCACCTAAGGACGCATCGTCTCTAGGGTGTCTGACTGTCCCTGCAGCTCGGAAGTCGCACCGCTGGTACCTCGAAGTCTTCGGCTCTTCATACCCCACGTGCGTCTTTCCTATTCCTGCTGGTGCTGCGGGTCAAGGTGGTCTTCCGCTGCGCCGCTGCATGGAGCTCATACCCCTCGTCTTTTGAGTTTTCTGCCCTCTCACACGCCTCCCCTTCTCGTCTGTTTGCGGCACTGCAAAAGGGTTCTGCCGTAAAACCTAAACCCTACACGCTCCATTCTGAATTCGTCGTAGGAAGACGGCTGATCAATTCTACATTGGAGCCCATCAACCTCCGCATAGTGAAGTATGCGTACACCCCATGTGGATGCTGTTTGCAGAGAGCGACGCATGCTCCTTCCTTTTCTCTACTAAGGGCTGCCGTTCTGTCTGCGATCCCGTCTACTCGGCGTTTCCAAGGCTGCCAGTTCACTGCCGCCTTAGTTCCTGCTATCAAAAACATTTGCAGAAACCGAAGTGCAGTTGGCTGCGTGTATATTGCTCTTCAGGGTTCAGGGTGTTATACCCAGGTCGTAAGATTCAGTGGCTAGGCCAAGGGTTCACGAAAGTTGCTTCGAGCTCTACAGTCTTCACTGTAGAAGGGGAAGAAACTCATCTGCGTCTCGCCTGCAGCAGGCAACAACGAGACCCCTTCTATGTTGGCTAATGAGCTAGTCACTACACATTCGCGACTTCTCTGTGAGTGATATGCTCAGCATTACGTACTAGGCAAGTGTAAGGGGGAGGTTGGCGAACTGTCTCTCCCAACCCGGGTCCCGCAGCCGGCCGACTTCATTTGGTCGGCGCACAAACTGCAAGGGGGCATAGAGATACTGATAGCTGTAGAGTAGAGGACGTTGTGACGGCACAGGGAGAGACATATGGCCCCCAGAGCCGGTGGTTGCCCCACCAATGGGAGGCCGACGGGCCAACCCAGATGCAAAGCGGATCGTCCCGTTGTTTTTTTAGGCAAAACAATGTTACGGTTGTGTCCGGTAGTTTGACGAGACAGTATAATATTCGAACTATTTCGAACGCCCACGAACGGAAGTGCCGCAGGGGAATAATCAATGAGTTAGTTAAAACTGGCAGAACAAGCAGAAAACGGCACAGATGGAGTACAATTATTCTTGGAGACAAAACCGGCAGAACAAGCAGAAAACGGCACAGATGGCGTACAATTATTTTTGTCTCCAATGTGGTCGTCTCGAGGGGTAGGCAAGTTTTTTGCCTCCAAAAGGCAAAGAGTTGCAGCCCTTCTAGCTAGCGCGAGCGTACGCCGTACGGTAGAACACAGTGCGTCAATGTTAAGCCTGAACCCTCGTAGAATCTGGAAGGCGACGTTCGGGGTTCAAGGGGTTTTTCCACTAGCGAAAGGAAGGTCTGAAAGGCGGATCCAATTAAAATCAAAGAAGCATAATTCTTATCTAGGATGCATATATGAAGACACGAAGTAGTTGTAGATAACACTTTCTAGCACCGCGCGACTTGTAACATGAGTTAGCGCAGAGTTAGCTCAGGAGCCTATCGACAGCTTTGGCATGCTGCGCGTAAGCGT